CAATAATATTCTTCATTATTTCTCTCTATTTATGCTTTAATATCTCTCTGATATTGATGAGTTGTAATACTCTGTAATCATTATCACTCCATATCTGCAAGTTTCTGATTGCAATCATTGTATACCTGTCAAGAGTATAAATTTTCTATTCCTGTAGCCATCATGACATAAAAATTAAATCAATAGATACATTTCTAAAATTTCCACACCCCTTCTATTTATAAAGGGATAAAAAGTACCTTACAGATCTCAAGTAAAGGCTTGTTCACCTGTTGCGATAAAATGCTGAAGTTTACCGCTAGATTATTTTTAAGCTTTTTTAGGCAAATTGCACTTCACATTTGTGTATCTTATAACAGACAGAGTACGCATGACACATTTGTTGTGCGCAACTACCTTTTTCATTCCTACTTGTCATTTATTTAGTACACAAAATAAATTGCTGGAGTTAAAAACTGTCCTATGTGAACACGCCTGTCATCCTCCAGGAGGAGTGGCAGTGTGAAGAGGCCAGCAATCACTAAATTACACATACAGGCCATCATATGGGCAGCTAGCGCCATTAGGAATATTAATTGGTGCGTAGTAATGACACGTTTATTGACATTTGGTTGGTGCTCTAAAACAGACAGACTATTAGAAATTCCTCCGTACATATGTGTGAACCACAAAATAGATGTCAGTCAGTCAGTCAGGAATCCCATGACTTTTACAAGCAGATCACATCAAGATATTTATGATTGGAAATCAAAATTTCATTTTTTGTTTTCCTAACAGTTTTTATAACACTACAGTCTATTGGAGAAAGTGAGTATGATAAAACCGGTCACTCAAAGATTTTTTACTTTTTAAGGCCATTCATGATCATTTTGAAGCACAATTTTGTTAGGGCTTCAATATTACACCATATATCACAGACACTTATAACATGTAGGGCCATGAATCTCAGATTTAACATTGTTAAACAATGCCTTTAAAATGTAAGTTTGTAAACGCTAGAATACTATAGTAATACTTAACATGATACTAGACTTTGGGTCTAGGCAATCCTAATGTGATGAATAAAAGATGAATATCAAGCATGCATGTACGCCCCTAATGTGAAAGGGCCTTCATGCATTCATCTACAATGAAACTACGTAAGAGAGGAGTCTCTCTTCCCCCAAGCAAATTTTCTGAGACACGCATCACGCATCCGAAAATAGCAGATTATTTCCGCCATTGTGTCGTGCTGGTATCAAATAGCAAAGCCCTGCATATTGAATTGGAAAAGCAATTATCCTCCTACTACGCTGGTGAAAAATCTGATGGAAAATAAGACAAAACCTTTTCTGGGATGTCCTTCAAAGAGGCAGAATAGAGATTGAAATTAAAATAATTTGTCTTGAACCACAAGAACCTTTAAAAAGAACAATTATAATTATCATTAACCCTTTTTTTTAATTTCTCTTTCAGCTGCCATAAATTACTTCTTAATATCCATTTCCAGGATTGTATTTCATTTCCGTTTACATAGAGCAATCATGCCCTCATCATTACAAGCATGTTTCCATTTTTACAAGGGTGAAATTCAAAGGTCGGTCGACCTACCTGTAATTCTCACAAAGCCACATCCTGACAACTTTCAAGAATGGATTGTCATAATCTTTCAAATAAAGAGGCGAGTTTGCTCAGTCGATAAGAGTCAGCGAAAGAGTTAAAAAAAAACTAAAAAACTTGCAAGTCAAAACCATGAAACGCAGCACGAATTTGTACATATGGGACAACAATGAAAGGTTATGGACATTTCTAGAATAATTGTCTAGAATATCACATGTCTTACCGACCATCATGTGTTATATTTATTAAATGAAGGGCAAAGGTTTGCCAATCTCGTAAATAAAATTCATAACTTACCAACCTAACTCAACTGGTAGATCTAAATTTAAGTTTTTGCCGTAGCTAAAGCCTCTCGATCGCGTGAGCAAACCTATGCCGCAATAAGAGAGAGGCTTAATGTATACATGAGAGAAAACTGCATGCTGTAGTATCAGTGCGGAATGGCCGAGCGGTCTAAGGCAGTGATTTTGGTCACATCAACATTTGTAGGGAAGGGTTCAAATACAACCGACGACACTTTTTTTTTTCTTTTTTTTTTCTTTTTAAATGGCAAAATCGGGGGTGCGGCCTATGCGGCGGTGCGGTCCTATGCGGCGGTGCGGTCTTATCGCCGGCAAATACGGTATTCGTATTAGAGTAGGGGGAAACCCCCGGTGTAGTGGTTCACCTGCACACACCCCCAGTATAGTACGATAATACTCTGTAAAGAGGTCTGTGCTCAAAAGGAAGAAGAAACTATTCTTGTGTTTTATTACACATACTGTATCACTATTTTCTCCAACATTATGCTAAATATTACTGCCATCTTAATTTAACTGTAGTTTGTTGTTACTAAATGAAATCAATGACCAGTTCAAAACATCAATCAACATGCTTGATTTACACTATACACAAAAGAAATTAATGTTTGAAACAAACACAATTTCAATGTATTGAAGAATTCCACTGAGCCAAATTTCTAACAGAGCAACGTATATTTTATAGTGCCATCTTTAATAATTGATTGCCCTTCTCAAACTTGTAATCAATCTATCTTCCACGCAATAAACTATTTCCTTCATATTTAGAAAAGTACACTAATTTTTAATGAGGGGATTTGTATGATGTACAGGTACAGGTACTCTGTGGTGCAACCGTCACATCCCTAACATTAGAAGTGATATTAATTGCATTATATGTGCATTAGGAGACACAGAGGCAGAACTAATGAACAGGTACCAGCTATTGTCAATTTTCTCCGGTATCTCATATTACCTACGTAATTTAATCACTTCCAACCAGGTGTCAATCTATTTCTGTCAGAAGGTAACTTAATAAATGACCATTAACGAGTTTGTGATGCAATACCGGATGAAAATATGGAAGGGTTCACATAAAGCGTTGCCCATTCCATCTTTTAATTCAATTTCAAATGCCATGTATCTGACTGGCTTGGAAGAACAAATGACATCCCGAAGTATCATGATGAAGAAAAAAAATTGAGAATTAAATCCATGACACTATATGTATACAGGGGTCTTGTTAATTATTTTTGAAGGAGGTAATTTGAATTTTATAGGAGGTACCATCACTGCGAGGGAGCGAAGCGACCGAGGGGGGGAGGGTGTGGGAGGGGGGTGTCCCCCCTCCCACGGTAGGGACCTTTTGGGATTTTCCACTTGAAATCGTGCAATCTGGTGCATACCTAAGAAGAAAATTTGTAGTTATCTTTCCTACCTTGTATTACACATATAAATAAACACACATATTGTTAATGTTTAATATTACATGAACAATCATAACTCATAGAAAAGTTATTAAGTTGATAATTATTTATCACTTTGTACCATTACTTTGTAATTTTTAATTAAACTGAGATGATGCACCATACTCAATCTTTCTACATCATGATTTGTTGAATACATGTACAGTATTTAAATAATGGGCAGCAGAGGCTAGATTTTGATTTTTTTTTTTACTTGTGACTTTTATTTGGCTCCCCATATGAATTCTCATTTAATTATTTTTTTTGACATGAAATTATTGAATACATTTAAGAATTTACTTTTGAGTATTCGCGGAGCGCGAGCCTGCATAGGCCTATATCATGCGAGCTAGCTGCGGGGGTCCGCCGGGGACGGCCGTGGCCGGCCTAAACTCAGCCGAGTTCAAAACTCTGTTGCCGATTTGCGCATCTCAGAATCTAAAGTACGTTGTCTCTATACATTGCACGCACGTGTATAGGCCCCGGTTTCCGTGATCTTCAAATATCAAATCGGCAACGGATAGTTTGGTTACTTCGAGCTAGCTTCAGTTTTGTTATGATCAGTGTGTATATATTTTGTGCAGTCCTCTCGTCCTCTCGCGTGCACATCGGGATCGCAATGGGGTAGGGACGGGCGGGCTTGGCCGCCGCGCTGTGGGGGGAGAACTGCGATGTAACGTTAGATTGATAGGTCTAGGTAAGTACGGACGACGTCGCGTTCGTGATCGTAAGGGATTTCGTCGACTGCGGCCGTGTATGTGCGGCACTAATTATATCTTGGACGAAATTAAGGAAATTTTGGATTAGCATTGATTTAGATCTACTTTCTGTGATTTTTGCAAGGTTTATTATAGGAATTATAGCCGGTAAGAAACGAGTGAATAGGCGGCAAGTTTTACCGGTTACCGGCTTTAAACGACAGCCCTGTGTATATTTGTATACTGTTCAATCCAGCACAATAATCTGGGCGTGGTTTCACGAAACCATCAGAAGTACAATTTCACCAACATCACATTGAAACATGTGTTAAATTGAATACACGCCTTTCAATGGTTTGTTGGTGAACTTGTACTGATGACGGTTTTGTGAGACCCTGCTCTGTTCTTTATAACTTAGAAGGCTTGCTCTTGAAATAACATAGCATGCCTACACTCTGGGATGCGATGGGCAAGTAAAACAGTAGATGTAAATAAAGCTGCAAGCAAGCTGAAAGCAGTTCTACATTACTAAGATAACACTTCAATTACGCTGCTTACGTCCTTATCTCTCCTTACTATCTACATAGCTGATCTTAATCATGATTAGTCCAACTAAAACCTGAAATCAAGTGCCACAAGGCATTCACCATCAAATAAAGACACTTTCTATCGATCGTAAATGGAGATTTGAAATAGATGCTATAAATAAAGAAAGAGACTTTGTGTACATACTGGAAGCATGCATGGCATCACAACTCATTAAAATGAAGTACAGTCCATCTTTGGCTCAATACAAGATAAATTCCTATGCACTAGACGCAGGCACAGCACAATTCATTAAAATTAAGGACTTGGGGTCCGTAGCGCAAATGCCTCAATAATTGATGGATTCACTTGTACTTGGGGGAATAAACAGAGCACCATGACAATTCGTTAGAGTAACGGAGATGGATACGAACCTTGGGGTGCGGAGGAGATGGCGGAAGAAATCATTGCCGACAAGTTTGATGGCCTTTTCCGGGGAGATCAGCGTGGCATTTACTGCATAACCTGAAAGGAGATTGTAAAGAGAGGGGTGATCAGACAGAGGAATGAGGATCAACGATGGATGCGAAGGAGGAAGGAGAGAGATGGAGATAGAGAAAGAGATGCATCTAGGATGAGATAACACAGCACAAGACGGGCATTGGGAGGAGAGAGAGAGAGAGAGAGAGGGGGAGAGAGAGAGAGAGAGGGGGAGAGAGAGAGGGAGAGAGGGAGGGAGAGAGAGGAGAGAGGAGAGGGGGAGAGAGAAAGAGGGAGAGAGAGAGAGGGAAAGAGGGAGAGAGAAAGGGAGAGGAGGGAGAGGAAAAGAAAGAGAGAGAGAGAGAGGCATAAAATAAAAGACAAGGAGAACAAATAGAGAAACAGAAATGGGGGACACAGGCAAGGTAAGAGAGGGCGTGAAGAAGAGGAGAGTGAGAGAAAGAGATGGGAAGGGAGGCACATATAGCAGTAGGCATTGATATACTCAAAAGCACATCAAAGATTAAAGGAACACTAGAGTGTTGGCAAAATGTACGAGCACAATGTACAGCTGAAATAAGTAACTGCTCAACATTTGCCTCCTTCGATGAAGCCTTGTCGAAGAAATTGCAATGTATTTAAATATTTTCATCCATTCTAAAAGTGATTATAAAAGTGATTATGAAAGCGAAATAAAGACAGAGAAGTATGTTTTATCACACATACTTTCAAATTTTCTTGTTTGCATTCCTCTTTCCTAACAAACTGGACAATGAAAAGTACATGTATTTCATCTATTGCAGTGATTTAAATCAGGATTCAGAACATGACAAAGCAAACAAGTATTTTATCATGCTCTTCTATTGCTGGAAAAGGATCTCATGTGAAAGATTCATTTTTAATAAATTGAGCTAATTATTCTTTCCATTTCAACTAAGTTCTTTTGAATCTAATCGTATACTTCATGGTTCATATTTCAAATGAACTTATCTCCAGAGATCATTGTACTTTGCCATTTATCCGCACTCGTTTCAGAGTATTTTTGGATGCAAACTGAAACTTTGGAGTATTTGTTCAGATGATAAAAAACAAACAACCGCAACCCCGCTACTCCGGCAGGCTGGCTGACGTCAAGAGACCCTAATTCAGATCAATACGATCTACGTAGGATTCTAGCTGTCTCAAGAGGCCTGATTGATATACTCAACAAACCACACACTGTATTTCTTTCATCCCTAAATTCCCTTTATATTGAATGATAACCCACTTACTTACTATACAGTGATTGATAACTTTGGGATACCATTTTCATTTGCTGAGAGCCAGATGGACGTTAGTTCATAGTCACACATACATGTTCATGTAGCTCAATAGGAATGGAACACATGAATGAAATACAATGTAAACATTAATGATCACTCACCATGGTATAGACCCCTTAAGCCTTCAGCTCTGGTTGTCTTTATGAAACAATCTAACCTGAAAGATAAAAGGGAAAAGATGAAATTAAGACAACTTTTTATCTTACAGGGTTGCCAAAGTAGTATGGTTATCAACCCTACAAGGCTTGCTAACAGAATTGAATTGATCCAGAGTAGATATTAACATCCTACTAAAAAGTACATTGTACATGGGCAAGCCTATGAAATGTGTGCTTTCTTTGTCCAATATATTACAAGGTATCATGGGATTATGAATATTTATTTTTTATGTTGTCATTCGTCTGATCTCAGCTAGAGTAATTGCTATCAATAATACAATCATCACGTATACTAACAAATTTGCTCAGTAATTTATCAGACAAGCTTTCAATATTTTACATTGATAATACTTACAGGTTGTTGTAGATGCGCTTTCCATCAATAACTTGTTGGTTTTGAAGCCGAGTCTTGACCAAGTCAATCGGGAAGGTACAAGTCACACCGACAACGCCAGCAACACAACCATTGATTACCTTGGCAGGAAGACTGTGGGTGGAGAAAAATTTAAAAGCCTGTGATAAAGACTAGATTGCAAAATTTGTTGACAGTCAAACTTGCATGTACTCAGAGTTTTCAGACACCGTCCAACTTTCCCTGATGATTCAAAATTCTGCTAAATTCAAAAATTTTGCTAGAAACTTTATAGAATGCTTTGTCACACAATAATACATTTTCAATGGTGTTTTTTTTTCTTCTTTTCTTCTTCATTTTATGTAAAGCCTGGGTCACAAATGCCATTACGAACTGCAACGAACGCTGTGCGAACGATTTTCAGACAATTGAAATTCGGGAAGACAATGGAAAAACAGGGAGATTCGTACAAATTTATCGTTCGTACAAACCTTAGTGACTGTACATGTAGCATTAGGTGTAAGCAGATTTGATCCTACAATGAAAGTACTTGCTCCAGGCCCCCCTCCCCCCCCCCCCCAAACGATTTAAAATGGTCTAGAAACATAAAAATGGCAACATCATAGGAAACCCCCTTTTTTTCTTTCCTTCCTTCCTTCTTTCTTTCACTCTCTCTCTCTCTCCATCTCTACAATTACCTAACATCAGACTATGCAAATATTAATGTACACACAATTTGACCAATACACTGGGAACAAACGTTACATGTGTCATGCACATGTACAATGTAAATGTACATGTACCTGTAGGTGTGTAAACATGCAGTTTGGGGAAGGGAGAGCTTTTAAAAGGTCATGTGACAATACAGAGTAATGAGAGTATGCACATGTATAATTGCAAGTCAGGATACATTTGTTTACATGTACATGTACATGAGCATTCATTAGCAACGACAAAAACATATAATCAAACTGTCTGTTTGCAAATTAAGTTAATTAAAGCAAGTACGCAGGGCACTGGTAAACAAACATGTTGAATACAAAGCTACACAAAACACTGACATTGTGGCCTTATGAAATTATATTGTTTATTCATATTGTAAAACTTAACCTATCCAATAGACCGGTTTACAAGGACCTAATGGCAAGGTGTTCCATTACCTGTTATCAATGAATGAACTACAATACTTCAAATCCAGTCTACATACTTTATTTGTTACTATGTTGGGCAAGCCTTCATGTCGTCAAGAACAATGTTTGTTTAAAAAGTATGCATCCAATTGGAATATACATGTATATGTTAATCAACCAGTCTATTACAATCAGTACACCTCTCAAGCTGAATTTCTTCCACGGCCCCCTGCCCACTCGCCCACTTGTCCCTGCCCCATGCTCATTGCCCCCCCCCCCCTCCCCTCTGCCCCCTGCCCACTTGCCTTCTGCCCCCGCCCTCCTGCCCCTCATCCATTCTTCATCTTTTCAAGTACCTCTTTTGACATCCAAGGACAGATAACACACAAACAAATTGCTGGTAATTTGCTGGCCCCAATTTCTCTCCCTTTCTCTCCCTTTCTCTCTCTATCTCTTTCTCGCTATCTCTCTTTTTCCCCTTCCCCTGTACTGTATCTCTTTCTCTCTCTCTCTCCTCTCCCACTCCCTCTCTTTCCCCCTCCACATCTGTCTTAATTTCTATCTGTTTCTCTCTCTCTCTCTCTCTCTCTCTCTTTCTCTCATTTTCTCTGTTTTTTTCTCTCTCTCTCTGTTTCTCTCTCTCTCTCTCTCTCTCTCTCTCTCTTTCTTCATCCCCCTCTCTCTCAGAAAATAGGACAGCCTACGTCATTCTCCCAATTACAGCATGGCCAGACATAGCCTCTTAATATTCCTTCCACCCTTTCTAATTCATCATTCATAGGATATTAGTTTTCTCCTGTATCATGTACACGTATGCTTGTTACTCGATAGAGCACACAAAGAAGCATGAAGCATGCAGAATTAAATGCGTGGGCTTACTGGGCTAGCAAGATTTCATCAAAATTAATAAAAAGTAGACTGTACAGCATTAAGTGTATAGCCTTAACTTTAATAAATAAAATGCATGCACAAAAATATGAACAACCTGTATGCAAATGGTATGGAAACTGGAAAGTTCTGTCTTTCTAGCTTTAATCCCTTTTTAGGAAAAGACAGATTGTCATTACAATTAAATTTTAGTTGTCATGGCCAATTCCAAAGATGTGTTGTATTTATAGATACCAGGTAAACAAGGTTAACAGATTGAACAGGAATAAAATTGGAAAAATATTTTGATATCAATGTTTCTACACCAGGATTGGATTGATGCGCACAATTTCTAATCATTTTTTTTATTCATCATGACCGAATGAAATCAAATGAAATGGAAATGATGTGCATCAGTACCTGGGACAGACAACTATTTTGAGGCACTTTCCAGTTTTTGTTCCTTTTCAAAGAAGTCTTTTGGCACTTTACATGTACCTGCTTTTGTTGAGTAGGGGACTTAGTCACAACTGACTGGGCACCGAATCCTGACCCCCCCCCCCCTCCCCCATCCCTGTGTGATTGATATGTTTTGAAAATCCTTGCAGAAATGTTTCAATGTCTTACGGTAAGTGACATCCTCTTTCGCCATCAAATTTTGGGGACTTCAAACACTTTTATAGAGGCGCTTTAATTTTATGAATACTGCATGTCACAATTTAGCAGACTTTGACGATGAGTGTCTTTACTTTAACCCCCGTGACAAACATGCAGGTACACAAGTGATTACTTCATAACTGCCTTATAATCTTGACATTATTGACAAGTACTTGAACTGTACCTGTATAATCCTGTCAGTTAGGCATTATTAAAGGGCAATCCTACCCTTGTGATATTAAACTTCATTGGTATGAAAGCAGAAAAATAAGATAATCAGAACAGGCGATAGTTTAAAATTAGGGAGATATGAATATATGTATGAATCCAAGCAAATCTCTAATTGGGAAGTTGGTCATTGGATTATAATAATAATAATAATACTCAGTTTTTATATAGCGCTTATTAGAATCACTAAGCGCTTCCAAACTTGGAGATTATTACCCCGGCTTTAGCTGTGCTGCCATTGCGGCGCTCTAGCATTTCAAGGAATTAATTCCTACCAGGTACCCAATTACATCACCTGGGTTGAGTGGATTATGACATAGTCATGGGACAACTCTCCCATTTATCGTATACAAAAATATCATTAATATCTTTTTTTCACCCACGTGCCTTCTACCATGGGGGACTACTCAAAACATATAATGGATAGCTTAATACACATACTGACTGTACATACACTGAACAGTACAGTGTAGGTCCTCCAAAAGGAAAGACCCTCCTAAAGCATGCATTTTGAGAAATTGACATTTCCATCATAATATGTTTTGAAACAAATTGAAAAGTGGTGAAGCACTTCATCACAGTGACATTAACAGATTCAGCCAATTTGAAGTGCCCATATGTTAACATATTGATTACAATTTTCAAAAATTCATAACTTTTTAACATTTTTGTCAGATTTCATTTGAACTTTTACCGGTCCGCTACTCTGATTTTTCTGCTTTCTTTTAGAATTGATGTCCGTTAAAGGGATCCAGTAACTTTGTCTCAAATTCTGAAAACATATTCTAGATTTAGCTCATGATGCAATGATAATTATAAACCTTTAGGTCAGTCAGGAACCTCATGACTTTTACAAGCCGATCGCCTGTCTGATTATCAAGATATTTATGATTGGAATTACAAATTTTGAAAACCGTTCGCCTGACGGTTTTCATAACACTACAGTCTATTGGGGAAAACGAGTATGGTAAAACCGGTCACTCAAAGATTTTTACTTTTTTGAGGCACTTCTTGATCATTTTGAAGCGCAATTTTTTTAGGGCTTCAATTTTACGTCATATCACAGCCACTGATAACATGTAGGGCCGTGTATCTCAGATTTAACATTGTTAAACGATCCCTTTAAAGGGACTTGGTAAGATTGTAAATATGAGACAAACAAGGATGACATTGATCCGTAAGCACAAATCAATTGAATCAAAAACCAAATTACAGTTTCACATTCACATGTCATACTGTATGACATGTGAGTGTGAAACTGTAACTTGGTTTTTGATTCAACATATAATGTACATGTATACTGTACATTATCCTAGTAACAAAATATGATTACAATTATACAGTCGCATTATATAAATGCAAGAAGCTAACTGGAGTAGTTGACATTAACATGATCAATACATTTTCAATGTTACCAATTCAAAGTTTCAAACATAGCATTAACTAAGAGCCTGGAAGCACTGATTTACTGTCTGAATTTGATTTCAACATGAAGAAAAAAAATAACTGCATGCAAGCACAATTTTTTGGCTGGGAAAGAATTGTGGGGAACAACTACTGTAACTACCATGGGAAACAAAACAACAACAAACTTGTTGGAACAATTGTGCTACCTGTCCACATATTGAAGTTCTATCTTATCTTTGGATTCCGCATGACTTCATAAATAACGAGTACAAGTGAGATAAAAGAAATAAATATCTTCAGTCATACTCATATACAATTATAAAATATGGAGTATGATATTTCTTTAGTAACAAATACAATATACACTGTATGTTACAAACTCAAGATCATGAAGATAGAATATATTGATATTAGATTGTATTTCATATTTTAGGGCAGAGATGAAAAACTCCTCCCAAAAGTGGTTCTTTTTACAGAACTCAAAACTAAGAATAAAAAATAATATCGGAAGCCAATATTTTGTAACACACTTGGTGACTTGGCCATACATTCACATGTACAGAGCAGATATTATTTTTACTGAGAACAAAATTTATCACACAAAAAATTAAAGGATGGACTGTAGAAATCTAGGAGAAAGCAGGCAAAGGGTTGAATAATTGAAAGTATTACTTACTTAATGTCACCCATTCCACCGCTCTCCCCGTGAAAAATATTCAAAGCTTGAACACAACAAGGATGGTATAAAACTAAACTTTAAGGGCTGTCCAATAACAACACCTGGGTTCACGTTTTGATCTCCCTCAACTCTCCCTCACCGCCGACGATGATGACTGGAATTCTTCTCCTCGAGAAATGCAGCCGTGTATCCAGATCCCCGGGTGAGAAAAGAAGATTGAGACAGTAGAGGACGGAGATGAGGGACGTTTCTTCGTGAGTGTAGCAGAACAGAGTTGGAGAGCTGTTGTAAGAGAGAGCGGAGACACGATAGCATGAATGCGTGGTTTAAAACGAATGAATGAAAGAAAGATGCAGACAGATCTCTGTATAGATTTGTAAACTAATCAATGATGTCTGTTTCTAGGCAGATCAATGGACCGTACTATAGCCCAGCCTTTCAGTCAATCACACCAGGGTTTGTGAGTATCCCTGATCACACCGGCCGGCCTTTACAACTTGTGCTGATGCATGCATAGCTGAGTAGTCTCTCAAATCAGACTCTACCTTCATTCTTTGACAAAAAATAGAATTCATTTCTGCTGTGAAGCAACATAAACTAATACAAAGCAACCATCGCTATGCCATATACCTTTTTAAAAACATTTGTTTCAATGTTTGTCACTTGTTCATATTTTATTTTTATTTTTAAATTACAGCTTAGAATCTGCAGCCTGCGTACATGTACATATGTACAATGTACATGATGGACTTCATAGACTAGTTTGTGCAGCACTGCACTGCATGGTCATTCTGCATAACTTCACACTCAGTGTACAGTAGTTAGTCTTCATGAACAGACCCTGTGTGAAACTGAGAGCTGCAATGATTGTGATTGGTCAAGTCTGGAAGACTAAATGTAGTACTACCTAGCTTTCTACAGATGTTAGGGTTATTTAATCTTATATGTACATATTCCAGAAACTAGACTCAGTATCATTGAGAGAAGGAAAATTCCCCTTGCCATTGAATTTTGAAACTAGGCAATTGTACAGATTGTGCAAATGTTTAAAAGGAAACCTGCCTCTCTGGCTGTTTATGAATCAAGATTAATTGTATTATCTTGTAGACATAATATCTTTGCACTTGTTGATAAACACCTGTAAATACAAATGAATGTTTTTTGTTGCTGGTGTTTTTTTGTTTTTTTTTATGTTTTTTAATTGCAACGTTCAAATAAACTCTTGAAAATATGAGAGTATTCCATTCTCCATAGCACACTCATAGGTAAACTGCATGTACAGTACCGGTATGTACTTTGCTACTTCCACACACAGCTCTCTCTCTCTCTCTCTCTCTCTCTAGCTCTGTCATTTTTAAAGTCCAATCACATTCTCCATCCATGTTAGGGCGCGTTCATGCTTGATTTTGACGGCCAGAATCAGGCATCTGTTACGCGTTTAGTTTAAAACACGCTTGCGTTCATGCTCACTTTTGTAGAATCACCGAAAAACCCTGATCACGATCGCCGATCGTAAACTCACAAAAAGATGCGTTTACAATTTGTAAACGCGTTTAAATGGGGTCAACGCACTGACCTCTAGTGGGTCTACGTAGCATGCACAGTGAAGGTTTGCGAATCCAGCTGGAAGACCAATTAAGGCCACACACTGAGAATTGCCTGGGGGAGCCAGAGAAGTAAGCATGAACAGTGCATCGTGGAACTGCGATCACGATGAGCATTTACGATGAGCGTTTCAGATCGCTCATTCTGCCTTCAAAATTTAAGCATGAACGCAGCCTAAGTTCACACAAAAGTTAACATTTTCCTAATCTCAACCTTGAATTCCTTAAAGGGGAAGTCCACCCTGAAATTAAGTTAGTTTTAATAGGAGTAGAAAAATGAGAGAAACAAGTCAGTGAAAGTTTCAAACTTTCACTCACCTGATTTTCTTATTATTCTGCCTCTATCGAAACAAACTTATTTTGGGGGTGGACTTTCCCTTTAAAAAGAATATACATTTATTTATTATAAAGATTTGTTTTCTTCTTCACGACAAGACATTTTCTGTTGAAGACTGAGCAAAATATTTGTTATATAATTAGACCAAACAGAGTCAATTCTTAACTGTATTCACATAAGTTTATCAGAAGTCCATATTCCACTACAAAATAAACAAAGAAAATAAATGTGAACTTGAATCATTTTCATATTTCAACAGATACAGTGTATATTTCATCAATTAAGTGTCAGGGCCCCTTTTCACAAAACTTGACACAGTGACAAATGGCGTTATTTGTTTAAGCAAGTGAAATCCTTGCTTCTGATTGGTTATCAGCAGATTTGTCCTGATTTTTGTAATTTGTCATTGAAAAAAGGCTTTGTGAAAAGGGTCCCAGAACAGTAAACTATCAAGCTACCCTTCTTTCTGTTAAAAATGTACTGTTATGGACACAGGTGGCAGTATTACAAAACGGGGACTCATGGCATTGCAATTCAGCTTCAAGCTCAACACCAAACAGTGACTGCTTTTTCTGTAGAAAACATGCTAGAAAGTCAGGTCAATATAGGGTTTGCCTCCTCCCACCCCCCCCCCCCCACAAAAAAAAGCTTATTCAATTGGTTTCTGTAGTGTTTTACATCAGGAACAACATACTAAAAATCTTTAAAAAATCAGACCCCGGAATGTGTTATGACCATATTTACATTAATATTTACATTAAAGCTGTATTATTATTAAAGACTATAAGTATATTTTAGAGATTAGGATATTCATTGGTGTGGTTTGCATAAAATTCATAAAGGATTAAAGGCCGTCTGTACTAATGCTCTCCCCCTGGACCCCATTCGTAAAGATATGTGTACATGTTGTTCCCAAGACAACCTTTTGTTGAATAAGTTGTCCTTAGGAGTGCGAGTTTTATGTAGTGTAACTGTGTAAGCTTCTAACAACCTTAAAATTCACTGAAGCTTTTGTCCACTCCTGTGGACTTTTGATTTTTTATAAAATTTCTTGCCATCTGCTGCCTCAAGATCATAGTAATATTCATCTGCTTGAGTCTGTTTGTAAATAATGTACAAGATTTGTAATTGTATGATAATAATATTCTCATTCTCTGTTTATTTGTAAGTATTTCTTGTTTGTGCGCATTGTACATGTATCTATTGAAAAGGCGCTTTATAGATGTAATATTATTATTATTAGTATTAAATGTCCATTTTTTTAAAGAATTGTGTGTGTGTGTATTGGGTTTTTACAGAAGTGTATCAATCAGATATGATTATTTACGTCTAGGTCTCTAGGAACTGACCTCTAAACGTCACCATCCGAAAGACGCGACTCAGTTTCGAACCTGCGTCCTCAGCTGAATCAGTTTGTAACTTCCATTGTTAGCTGGATTACAGGCACACGCTACAACGCCTAGTTGTTCTCTATTACTATTTTAGTCTTTAGTTATACTATACTGAGTATTACTATTTATAGTAGACTATTTTTAATGTAAATAGATCTAGACCTCTAGATCTATTTCTGTAACTTGTTGTAAGACTAAGACTAAGATTCTGTCCAGACTCCAGACCTAAACTGATCAAAATACTTCTTAAATTGGCTCTGAGTCTGACAGACTATCCAGTTTTCAAAACTTAATGTTACATTTATCAGTCTTTAGATCGTTGTGTGTTAACGTGGCCCTTCCCTTGTTCATAGACGCAGGTTATGTCAAGTGGAAAACACTCCGTCCCTCGGATAGGACGTTAAATTGAGGCCCTGTGTACAGGAGAGTCACCACCCTTGCACGTTAAGAACCCATTGCACTATTCGTATATTAAAGAGTAGGGCACTAGGGGGAAAGCCCGGTGTAATGGTCCACCTGCGCTGCACACCCCAATCAGGCCGAATATACGGCATCTGCACAAATCTTCAGTATTGAAAGAGGCAGATTATCTTGAAGAAGAGGAACCAGCCAAAAATCTTGAATTTTAAGAAGCCAAGCACCCGGCCCCATGACCCTGCACCTCTCATCTCACACCGCACCTCCACGGCTCAGCTCCTGCACCGGCTACCACCACCGTCACCCCACTCACTCATTCTCAACACACGGCTCACGAGTGTGTGGCTTCTTTAGCTCTCTCTGACCTCACGACTAACGCGAATCAATGACAATGATGCAATCACAATTAACGATTATTTATTTCATACGATTTACCGTCATAAATCTTTTTGCATCCTGTCATTGCCAAAAGCTAACGTTATAATAGATCTAGACCCCTAGGTCTATATCAATATTTAACATCATGTTTGATTGTTTGATAACATGAACCGTTAGGAATAGGAAACACGCACAGCAAGGTCAGAAGTTTACCGGTTCGTGAATACACGCCATCGGGCAAGCCAGCCGGCTGATCATACTACCGGTATAGCCGGTGCCGCCAACATGACGTTGGTTTTTTTCATCGCATGCATGATACAAATTCTGCAAAAAATCTTCAAAATCTTTAAAACATGGGTTTAAAAAATGTATAAAAGGTGAAGACCAAACGCTTATATTCACTCCTGAGAAAAATCAAATCAATTAACTTACCTAGTTTACCGAAATTACATAAATAAAGTGAAAAATACACTGATCCAGACTGAAATCCCAGTTACTAAACTATATTTTAGACATGCAAGCGCATGCGTATCGCTCGGCTAGGCTTCGGGCCGATCGCGCGCGCGCTCGAGCGATTCATTCTGAAATTTATTTTCTTATGATAATTAGGTACCGGTACTGGCCAATCGGGATAAAGATGAATTATTCATTTGGGGGTCAACCGCACGCTCGACCAATGAAGGATGCCATTAAAATAAGTATTGTACCAAATATGGAAAAGGATCACACGCGTTTCACACATGTTCGCAGCATGTACTAAGAACGACGTTTGAGGGGGAAATAATTACGACTTGTCAAGCATAGAGAGAGCAAACTTTCTCTTTTTTCTCTTTCTACCCCAGCATTCTAAAAAATGGCAGCCAAAGTGGCAAATGTGCCAGAAAATGAGCGCTATCAAAGAACCCACTGTAATGTTGATCATCATCATCATCTTCATCATAATAGTCCAATTATTATTATTTTATTTATTTCATTTATTTCATTTATTTATTTCACTCTCTTTTAAAAAACATCAAAAGTATATACATGTTCGTTCATTATCAACATAAGATAAAAGGAAGTGAATCATGAAAGCCAAACTTGGCTTGATGAGAATGATCCCCAAATAAATTCTAAGCATAAACAAGATGCAAACTTATTTTATATAAAAAAAAAAACACATACATTTACAACAACAGAGGACAGAAGAACAATAAAGATTTTTTTTTTTTAAATATTTTTTCCCCTTCCACAGGGTTCTTTATTTTCAAAACAAATTTCATCATATACAGAACATCCATATATCATATACAAATAATTAAATAAATAATTTCCATACATAATGGCTTGACACAGATAATAA